ATTTTAAGTTCTTCCGTCACAACATTATTTACAATTAGTTTAGCCTTTTGTTCTGAATAAATTGCACTTATACCATTCTCAAAACCTTGGCCTACCCCCATACCCTGAAGATTCTTCTTCATAAAATTCCAAGAAATATTGTCAAAGGCTTTCTCCGCGTCTACAAATATCAACACTGCTTTAGTGTTTATATTCACTTCTAATTTTTCCAAGATATCAATTATATTCCTCAAATTATCAGACAAATGTCTTCCTGGGAGAAAGCCCGCTTGGTCTTTATGAATCTCTTCCAACAGCACTCTATAAATCTCTTCGCCAAAATATCTGCAAAAATTTTGTAATCCACATTAAGTAATGATATAGGGCGGTAGTTCTTAAGTTGTGTCTTTTCAGTCTCTGTTTTTGGTACAAGTGTAATATATGCTTCTTTCCACGACTCTGGTGCCCTCTTCCCCTCCATAATTTCATTACAGACCTCTTTCAATGGTTGAATTAACCATTCTTTTAAAGATCTGTAGTATCTAGAGGTCAAGCCGTCTGGTCCTGGAGATTTACCCAGTTGCATATTTTGAATGGCACCTTCTATTTCCTGTTCAGTTATTCTGTCATTCAAAATTAGTCTCTTTTCTTGAGATATTTTTGTAATCCATTTGTTTTCAAAAATTGGTCTAAATCTGTTTCTTTCACTGGCCCTTGAGTATATAGTCTTTTAAAATACTTCTGGAAACAACTTCTAATCTCTGCAGGGTTCTGTATATTCCTTCCTTCCACTTCTAAATTCGTAATCGTATTTAATTTTTGTCTCTTTTTCATTTGCCATGCCAACAATTTACCACATTTATTGGCCGATTCAAAAGTCTTTTGTCTCATTTGTTTAATTTTCCATTCTATTTCCTGATTCATTATTTTCATATATTGTACTTGATATAACTTTAACTCTCTCAGAATCTCTTGAGATTTGGGATTTACTCGCAGTCTTTTTCACATTCATTCATTTTGTTCATAATTTTATCCTTCTTTTCATTTTGAGTTTTTTTCTTTATCGCATTCTGTTGTATTAAGAACCCTCTCATAACAGCTTTACTTGCGTCCCAGATTACTCTTTTCTCCACGTTGGAACTAAGATTTATCTCGAAGTAATCTCTTAGAGTTTTGGGCCTTCTTAAGAAATTCTTCATCTCTAAATAAGGTGTCATTCATCTTCCATCTGAAGGAGCCAGTTGGTGTTAGTCTCATTTCCATCTTAACAGCATTATGGTCGGAGCAAATTTTCGGGCAGATTTCCACCTTTCTTGTCTTTGGTGCCATTCCTCTAGTTATCCAAATTTGGTCAATTCTTGTCCAAGTCATTTTGGCTTCAGAAAAGAAAGTTCCCTCTTTTGCCAAGGGGTTTCTAATTCTCCAAATATCCACTAAGTCCAAGTTGTCTGTCATGTCAAAAAAGGTTTTCGGTAGTCTACCATCTTTGGTGACTACCTGTCTTTGTGCCTTGTCCATATAAGTAGATACCACTCCATTCATATCTCCCATCAAAATCATGTTGTAATCCATATGGTCCATCAAGGTCTCATGCAACTTCTTAAAAAAATCAGATTTCCCATCATTTGGTGCGTAAACTCCTACAATCAAAAATTTTTCTCCTTGTGTTTGAATTTCAATTGCCACAAATCTTCCTTGGTCATCCTTAAAAACAAATTTTGGTGATAAATTGTCTTTTGCGTAAATCACAACCCCTCTCTTTTTAACTTTATCTGACGAAATAAATTCCTGACCAAGTCTTTTATTTATCAACAATTTCCTGTGTAATCTTGTTATGTGTGTTTCTTGTAAACAAATTAGGTCCAATTGTTCCTTTTTTAATATATGAAATACTGACTTCCTCTTCTGAGGGGATTCAAACCCCGACAGTTCCATGTTAAAATTTGCAGGGCCATGATGTTATTGTTTTAGTTCTCCTCCTACTGCACCTAGTGCCTGTTCCTCATCCGTCGGTGGTATCCCTTCTTTCGAAAGGTCTTTTGGTTCCGGAGATAGTTCTTTTTGTAGGTCTTCTCCGTGGTCTCTACAAAATTTGTCTTTGTCATCTTCCGATCTTATGCACCGTGAGTGTTGGGGAAGGCCGCTCCCTCTTCAGGCTGATTCCACCTGGCCTGGGGGCGGGGCCCAGACTCACCTCCGCTACAGTTTTAAGGACACTGGTGCTGCTGCAGCAAATGTTAAAAATGTTTTTATATATTTTAAAGTGTTTTAAAGGTGTTTTTACTTTTTACTTTATTGTACCACCGTGAACAGTGGTTTTTATCTATGTATTTTTATTTTGTTCTGTTTTATTGTGGTTTGGGGTGGGGATTGGTTTTGTTTAGGTATAATTGTTTTCGGTTTGGTTTGTTTTGCTATTTTGTAAATGGAGGCTTGTATGAGGCTTGGGATTGCTACCGTGGAGGGGCGAGGGAGGTATGGTGGTGGGGGCAGATGTTATAGGCGAAGGGGATCGAGATACGGATATGCTCGTACCCCTTCCAATCTGCGCCCCATCCCGAGGGACGAGGGTAGGGTGAGCAAGGATTACTCACCTCCGTCACTGGTGTTGTGCAATGCCAGGTCTATAGGCAACAAAACCGCCACTCTGCGAGATTTCTTTACCTCGCAGGGGTCGACCTGGCTTGTGTGACGGAGACCTGGGTACGCGAAGGGGCAACAGTTACCTTACGAGAGATGGCGCCCCCGGGTTTCTCCGTCCTCCACCAGTCACGGACTATGGGCCGGGGGGGAGGGGTGGCATTATTAATCCGGGAAGATTGTCCTTTCAGGGCTCTACCATCGCCATCAATCCCCGGCATTGAATGTGTTGGCCTAGTGTGGGGCTCTGAGGTGAGCTTGGCTGTCTGGCTGGTGTACCAGCCACCTAGCGCACCAGCAGCCACCCTGTCAGGCCTGCTGGAGGCGGTGGCCGGCTGGGCCTTGGAGTTCCCTAACCTATTGGTATTGGGGGACTTCAACATCCATGCTGATGCCACTCCTTCCTCACAGGCTCTGGACCTGGTGTCTTCCATGGCAACACTAGGGCTCTCCCAGTTTGTTTCAGGCCCCACACATCAAGCAGGCCACACGCTGGATTTGATCTTTGGCGTAGGTATAGATGTGATCATGTCTCCTTCAATTAAGGTGCCATGGTCTGATCACTACGCTCTGAAAGCCAGGATTGACTTTCCACCCCCACCCTGCTTAGGTGGCGAGCCGATTTGGGCTCGCCCGCAGAGGCTGATGGACCCTGATAGATTCCGTCAAGCCTTGCGGGACCTTGCTCCCCTGGCGACTCATTGACTGAGCTTGTTGAGGGCTGGAATACCCAGCTCCTGGCAGCCATAGATGAGATCGCACCTAAGCGCCCTCTGCGACTCCGCAGAAACCGGGCTCCCTGGTTTACCGAGGAGCTTCGGAAAATGAAGCGGGACCTCAGACGGCTAGAGCGAGTATGGCGGGGTGCCCGTGACGGAGCCTCAAGAACATCTTATAGGGTTTTTATGAAAACCTATGAGATGGCGGTGAAGGCCGCTAAGAAGTCTTACTTCTCGGCCTCCATTGCATCCGCTAGCTCTCGCCCGGCGCAATTATTTAGTATAATTAGGTCTTTAACGTCCCTTGAAGGACAGCCAAATTTAAATAACAATCTGACACACAGCTGTGAGGCATTTGCGAGCTTTTTGCGGAGAAGGTCCTGTTGCTCCGCCATGACCTCCCTGCCAATTTGGATACAATAAAGGAACTGGAGGCCCCCGACTGTCCTCGGGTCCAGTATTGGACCACTTTGATCGGATATCCCCAGCCGATGTGGACAGACTCCTCCGAGCTGGAAAGCCCACCACCTGTCCTCTTGACCCGTGCCCGTCTTGGCTGATTAGAGCGTGTCCAGACGAGGTGCGGGCCCCCCGGGGGATATCATCAATTTGTCCCTTGGCACCGGGATATTTCCAGGGGAATTGAAGGAGGCAGTGGTGCGCCCGCTCTTAAAGAAAACATCATTAGATCCCTTAGATCTATCCAATTACCGCCCGGTTTCGAATCTTCCATTCCTGGGTAAGGTGATTGAGAGAGCGGTTGCTGAACAGCTTGGTAGGTTTCTGGATGAAACATCGGCTCTGGATCCATTCCAGTCTGGCTTCCGCGCTGGTCATGGGACCGAGACGGCTCTGGTCGCCCTAACAGATGATCTCCGCAGGCAGCTGGATCGAGGCGGGTCGGGGCTGCTGATTCTTCTAGACCTGTCAGCAGCCTTCGACATGGTTGATCACGAACTCCTGGACCACCGCCTTGCCGACGTGGGGATCCAGGGCACAGTCCTTCAATGGCTGCGCTCGTTTCTCTCCGGTCGGGGACAGAGGGTGGCGCTTGGGGGGGGAATTGTCATCCCGCCACTCCTTGGTGTGTGGAGTGCCTCAGGGTGCGATACTCTCCCCGATGCTTTTTAACATCTTTATGCGCCCCCTCGCCCAGCTTGTCCGGAGTTTTGGGCTGGGTTGCCATCAGTATGCTGATGACACCCAACTCTATCTGTTGATGGATGGCCATCCTGACTCGGCCCCAGACACACTGACCAGATGTTTGGAAGCTGTGGCTGGATGGTTACGTGGAAGCCGGTTGAAGTTAAATCCTTCGAAGACAGAGGTCCTCTGGCTGGGACGGGACGATATGGGATTGGGGGCAACTCCCATCTCTTGCGGGGGTGCAATTAGTGCCAGCACCGTCCGTTAAGAGTTTGGGTGTAATCTTCGATACCTCCCTCTCTATGGAGGCGCAGATTACAGCTATAACAAAGGCGGCATTTTTTCATCTCCGCCAAGCTAAGCAGTTGGCCCCTTATCTCTCTCGCCCTGACCTAGCCACTGTGATCCACGCGACGGTCACCTCCAGACTGGATTATTGTAACTCGCTCTACGTGGGGCTGCCCTTGAGACTGACCCAGAAACTCCAGCGGGTGCAGAATGCCACGGCGAGACTCCTTATGGGGTCTTCGCTGCGAGATCACATTCATCCGGTACTATACCAGCTGCACTGGCTCCCGGTGGAGTACAGGATCAGGTTTAAGGTGCTGGTTTTAACCTTTAAAGCCCTATACGGCCTAGGACCCTCGTACCTACGGGACCGCCTCTCCTGGTATGCCCCACAGAGGAACCTACGGTCTGCAAATAAAAACATCCTGAAGGTCCCAGGCCTCAGAGAGGTTAGGCTGGCCTCAACTAGAGCCAGGGCTTTCTCGGCTGCGGCTCCAATCTGGTGGAACGCTCTGTCACAAGAGACTAGGGCCCTGCGGGACCTGACATCTTTCCGCAAGGCCTGCAAGACAGAGTTGTTCCACCAGGCCTTTGGTCAGGGCCCAGCCTGACTCCTCCTCTGGCAACCTGCACAGAACTTTGCTTAACGGTTGCCATTAATTTGATTTTAATTAATTTTTATAATGAAATGTTTTAGAATGTTGGATTATTTGATTGTTTGATTATTTGTTTGTTGTTAGCCGCCCTGAGCCTGGCTTTGGCTGGGGAGGCCGGGATATAAATAAAATTTATTATTATTATTATTATTATTATTATTATTTTCCTCTTCTTTCCTTTGTAACTAAAAGACAGGCCTTGAGGAAGTTCCCACCTGAAATTGATATTGTTCCTTCTCAGCAGGGTAACCAAGTCTTTATATTTTGATCTGAGATCCAGAAGATATTTCGGAATATCTTTGAATATTTCCACCCTTGTCCGATGGATTTCCAGTGTCTTCTTAAAATGTAGGCCCAAATCTTATCCCTCTCTTCTTTTGTTCGAAAAGTAATCAGACAGTCTCTCACCTTCTTCTCTCCTCTTCTCCCGAGTCTGAAGGCATTTACTATTCTGAAACTGTCTTTTACCAATTCTGGATCCCAAAAGTCCAAAAATTCCTGCGTGAGAAATTCAGCTAGATTGTCCTTTTCCACCTCAGGTACCGATCTGACCCGAAGATTCACTTGCTTCTCCTTCAAATCTATCATAGACAGGGTTAGTTTGTGGTCTTCCAATTGTTTGTGCAGTGTTGGTAATTCCTCTTGAACCTCTTTAACTTCCGTGGCAGAAGTTGTAGCAATTTCTTTAGCCTCTTCAGCAATCTGGCGAATTGAGGCCGATTCCTCTAATAATTTCTGAATAGTCTCTGTGTTAGTATTTACTTTTTGGCCCAAATTATTTATACTTGCTGTATTCTGGTTAATACTTGCTGTATTCTGGTTAATACTTGCTGTATTCTGGTTAATACTTATTGTATTTTGATCAATCTTATCAGAAGCCTCTGCTACTTGTTGACTTATTTTATTCAAAGATTCATTAACTTTGGCCAAAACTTGAGCAAAGGCTTCTTCACTTGTCGTGCTTTTTACCTTTAATTGTGCCGATGAGGCTGTTGTTGAGGTTCCAGAAGGGCCTGAGGCCGAAAATCTCCTTTGTAATCCTTCTTCTGTGCGAAGAGGCCTCCCCGATCTTGTGGTCGAAGCATCCGCCTTCTCTTTCCCATCTGCCATTCCTTAGATAATGCTCAAGGTCAGTCACGTATTTAAAATTGAACAGTGGAAATTTCCTGCCAAGCAGTGTGAGAACTCCTCAAGTCTGCTACAGTTTCAGTTGTAACAAATTGTAACAGTTCCAAGTTCCACTAGGGGGACACTGTAACAGTCATAAAAGTTCTTGGATACTTTAATTCCTTTTTTTGGTAAGCCCCCCTAGTTTATTCAGGACGAAAACAGTCTATTCAGAATTTTTGACTTAAGACCAGGAGATATATATTCACATAAATTGTCCAAACTTTTATTTCTTGTGCAGGACTAGCTGTCAAAATATATTACAAGACAGTACCTCTCTTTCTTTCCTGAGATCTGGAGATCCTTTCCCAGGGAATTGAGTGGTGGTTCAATCCCTTCTTTTCCACTCTTTATGAAGAAATCACATCCACAATTCTCCCCCTTTTCCCTCAATTTAAAAAGGGAAAAGTCCAGGTTGGATGATTGGATTAAAGTCCGCTAAAACGTACTTTCCAATTGCTTCCGCTTTCAAGTTCAATGCTTTATTTTATCTACAAATAAAGAGGCTGACTTCCTTTTTAAGCCTCTTTCCGTTTTCGGCCAGATTCCAGTTTTGTACAGTTCCAATTTAAATTGTATCCTACTCACGGATCGTTGATTTTCAGGTCCGGATTTTAAGGAAGAAAGGCAGCGCTCTCCGATCAACAGCTTGCGGCTTCACACCACGAACGAGCAGACAGCCCACAGCACAGCGCTCTCCCCACTCCGCTTCAAAGCCCATTGCCGGGCTTCCTACCGGGTTGGGGGGGGCGCCAAATGTGCCCGCTGGGATCCAAGCTCACAGGCTTCTCCCGCCTGTGATTTTTGGGGGTCCCCCGCTACGCCGAAAGCGGGATCCGACCCTTAATTCGCGGTGAGATTTCCTCCGGTGGAGGAAATCCGCCATTAATCGCTGGCGCCGCCTCCGGAAGTCCTCCAAAATGACATTTTAAACAGAGCCCTGTCCTGCCATCAGCACTTTATTTATTTACAGATTTATAAACCACTTCACAACAGAAGTGTTTCCCAAGCAGCACTCAGTGAAATAAGAACTTTTGTTAGAGAGGAGTATAAATAAGCCTGTGGTTATAGGGTGGTATATAAATTCAAAAAATAATAATAATACACATACGGTATATTTCCACCCACCAACCAACTTCCCTAAATTGTGGCTATGTACCGGTAATCTTGGCAGTGACAGAGAAAGAGTCAAAAGCCTCATAATGCCCATATATGTCAGAGATCTAGCAGGCACCTTCAGCAATGCATTTCCGCCAGCAATTAAAAGCATTTCTGTTCACCCAGGCAAAAATAAAATAAAACAGATTACGAAGGCAGTGAACGAAATGACAATAAAATCAGTTATATACTGATACAGTTATTATTCCAGAAAATGATGGGCTCTCACACTTCAGGGAAAAGCCTCTAAAACAAAATGACTCCAATAGGTGCATAAATACCAAGATGCTTGTCTGATTTCAATTGGTAACTGATTCCAGAAGGCTAGAGGTACAGCACTAAAACCCTTGTTTCTGGTGCACACCAAGCACACCTCTGTAGCATGTCTCATTTATGGCATCATTGAGCATCTGCCAGGGCCCCCAGCCTCCGGTCCTTGGCCTCCCAAAACTTGGAGGTGACATTTAAATTCCTCACAATGATCTGGAGCAATGCTACATAGGGGCACTTTGGCCAACTTAAAATAGTAGTTCAAGAGAAACAACTGTGACCTTACTGTGAGTATCTGCTGCAGACCTCCAAGCCAGACTGGAGACTTGGATGATGCCTTCCTAGAGCAGATTACAAAACATTCAGAAAGGATAGATAGAGTAGTCATGGGAGACTTCAACTACCCTGATATCTGTAGGAATTCAAACTCTGCCTAGAATGTAAGGTCCAACAAATTCCTCCATTTCCTTGCTCCTCTATAGGTTTCTCAAAAGCAAGCCATGCCTGATGAGCCTCATTTCTTTTTATGGTTGAGTTACAAGCTTATTGGATCAGGGGAATGCTGTAGACATAGTGTATCTTGATTTCAGTGAGGCTTTTGACAAAATCATCCATGAAATTCTTGTGGAGAAACTGGTATATTGTGGGCTAGGTGAGGTAAGTATTAGATGGATTTATAACTGGGTGACTGACTGAATCCAAAGAGTGCTAACTGATGATTTCTTATCATCCTTGGAGAAAAGGACAAGTAGGGTGCCGTAGGGTTCTGTCCTGGGCCTGTTTTTATCCAATGTCTTTATAAACGACCTGGATGAAGGAATTGAGGAGACTCTCATCTAATTTGCAGGTGACAATTCGTTGTTGTTGTTGTTTAGTCGTTTAGTCGTGTCCGACTCTTCGTGACCCCATAGACCAAAGCACGCCAGGCTTTGGTGACAAATTAGGTGTTGCTAATACATTGGGATTCAATATGACCTTAACAGATTGAAGAACTGGGTCCAAACTAAGAAAATAAATTTTAATAGGGACAAATGAAAGGTTCTACACTCAGGAAAGAATAACCAGCTTCATTAATATAGGGTGGGAGACATCTGGTCAATAGTACATGTGAAAAGGATCTAGGGGTATTAGTGGATCACAAGCTTAATATGAGTTAACAGTGTGATGCAGCAGCAGCAAGAACCCCCCCCCCCCCAAAAAAAAACCTAATGCTTTTCTAGGCTGCATCAACAGAAGTATAGTGTCCAGATCAAGGGATGTAATAGTTCCACTGTTTTCTCCCTTGGTCACACATGGAGAACTGTGTTCAGTTCTGAGTGCCAAAATTTAAGAAGGATATTGACAAGCCGGAACGTGTATAGAGGACGGCGACCAAAATGATCAAGGGCCTGGAAACCAAGCCTTATGACGAACAGTTGAAGGAGCTGGGTATGGTTAGCCTGGAAAAGAGGAGACTGAGAGGAGATATGATAGCCATCATCCAATATCTCAAGAGCTGTCCGTGGAAGATGTTTCAGAGTGTAGGACCCATACGAATGTCATCAAGCTACAAGAAAGGAGATTCTGACTCAACATCAGGAAGAACTTTTTGACAGTAAGAACAGTGGTTTGACAGTGGAACAGACTGCCTTGGAAGCTAGTGGACTCTTCTTTCTTGGAACTTTTAAAGCAGAGGTTGGATGGCCATCTGTCATGGATACTTTAGTTGAGATTCCTGCATTGCAGGGGGCTGGACTAGATGGCGCTTGGGGCTAGTTCTTCGAACTCTAGAATTTTATGATTCTGTGATTCTAGACTTAAGGTTCCTTAGCCCAAGCACATGTAGATTTCTGTCTATATAATTTTTGCATTCGGAATCTGCCTTATACCAAGCCAGTTCCATGTGGCTCACTGTTGTCCAGGGTGTCAGACTGGGGCTATTCCCAGCCCTACCTGGATCCTTTCATGCAAAACATGTTTTCTACCACTGAGCTATGTCATTTCTTACATTGCCCACATAATGTGCGGCACCCATAAAAGATCAGGTACATCAGTATAGCACCTGATCGACACAAAACAGCAATGGAGGCCGTAAAACTATTCATGGCACTGCATTTTCCCTTTCTTCTTATTCTTTTTTAAAAAGTTACAGCATAAGCACATTTAGTAAAAAGAAAGAAAGAAATGTGGTTCTAACATAAGAGTCGTGCATGGCAATCACACCTTCCTAAACATAGGTGCAAAGATGTAATACATCCCCAAGTATCTCATAAGTCCAATCTTTTGATATATTTCAAGCCATGCACATGAATCAATTTGCTGGTGCTATAATACAACATTCGGAAAGAAGATAAAATGCCTTCTTAAACTCCACTAGAGCACCTGGAAGGAAAAGATGAGAACAGAAACTCCATCTAAAGCAGCTTTCTAAAGCAGCTCCCCCCCCCTTAAATTGCTATACAGGGGTGCTTCTAATAGGGATGTAAGGAGGCATCGTCCAGTCCTGTGTTTGTCGCATTCAGCACTGTTTCCTTTCTGACGCAGTTTGGCTTCCACTAAAACCAGTGTTATTAGCTTTGCTATCTAAAACTAAGGTAATTTATTCCCTAATTAGTTACATAATTAATTTCAACAGAAGATAAATGTCTCCTAACAATGCAGAAAACAATTGTTAGTGTATTGTTTGCTAAATAAAAACAACGAAAGCAAATATTGCTCACATTTGCTTGCATGATTTCTATTCCTGAGCTTGGATGAACCTGCAAATTGCAGCAATTTCTGTTCCCATTTCCATTTGCAATGGAATTCTCAGATACTCCCAGTTGCTAAGTATTTAAAAGATTTGGGGTGCAGGCCTAGGACACAGCTTTGCTCTGATGTCAGAATCTTGGCCACCTTGTAAACAAAAGCAAAACAAAAGTTAAAACCAGGCAGAGGGCCTTCTCGGTAGTGGCACCTGCCCTGTGGAACACCCTCCCATCAGATGTCAAGGAAATAAACAACTATCTGACTTTCAGAAGACATCTGAAGGCAGCCCTGTTTAGGGAAGTTTTTAATGTTCGACCTTTTATTGTGTTTTTAATATCCTGTTGGAAGCCACCCAGAGTGGCTGGGGAAATCCAGCCAGATGGGCGGGGTATAAATAATAAAATTATTATTATTATTATTATTATTATTATTATTATTATTATTATTATAAACGGGAATGGGAAAGAGATCCAGGGCCTGGTGCAAAAGACTTCAGCCCACCTACTGAGCCTTCACTGCCAACAATGCCCCTATTGTTATACCTTTGGAGCAATCTTGTTTCATGAGGTAACCTCAGATGTGAAACAAGTCAAAATACAGTGGATATATTCCAGAGATGAAATACTTGCCCCTCCTTTCTCAGATTTGCTCCATCTTTGACCACCGTAGCTAATGAGCTCAGGATCGTCAATAATTATAATCAAGGTTTGAAGGAGAACTCACAGCATCATATTCGAACATATTACGCATTCGTAAGCACCACTCTGTATGCTGGGAAGCAGATGCTAAAAGGACCTCTCTTTTTTAGCTGCCAGAAAACAGAAATATTCATGCAACATTGATGAATTCTGAAACGTGCTGACAGCAAAAAGCTCTCCGGGAAGTCTTCACATAGGAGCTACAAAGGAATTTCTAGTAGAAATTGTTCAACATCCCATTCTTATCACTCACAATGTGGAGGAAAACAGAACCTAGTGAGAATTGGGAGGAAAAGAAAGAAGAATCCAGCACCTGAATTTGCTGAGTATTATATATTGCCTTGGAACCTGAAATCCTGTTTATTCCCATCTACTTTTCCTTACCTAAGTTAATATTACCTGCTTCTTATTCTCTCTCCCTCTCCCTCCCTCCCTCCCTCCCCCTCTCTCTCCTCCCCTTCCTACCACTGCGCAGTGAACTCTGTTCATTCTTACCTACTCAGGCTTTATCTTACGAGGAGGCAGCTGCTTGACTCAATACAAAAGATTATGAACACAAAATAGGATAAGGGCTTACTTGAGGCAAGGCCAAGTTACCAATGCATGCCAGTACCCAGACTGTTTTCCATTTCTGAAGAAATTCAGCTACAGAGAGAGAGAGAGAGAGAGAGAGAGAGAGAGAGAGAGAGAGAGAAGCTAGGAGATTTAATACAGTGGTACCTTGGGTTAAGTACGTAATTCGTTCCGGAGGTCCATACTTAACCTGAAACTGTTCTTAACCTGAGGTACCACTTTAGCTAATGGGGCCTCCCGCTGCCGCCGCGCCACCAGAGCACAATTTCTGTTTTCATCCTGAAGCAAAGTTCTTAACCTGAAGCACTATTTCTGGGTTAGCGGAGTCTGTAACCTGAAGCATATGTAACCTGAAGCATATGTAACCTGAGGTACCACTGTACTGTTCATGTGTAAAATGAAGGTTGCATACCTGTAAACTGAATCCTTTCCCAAATGGCTCAGTTCAGTCATAGCGATAAGCAAAGCATATGCAGACCATCTTAGAAATAGAACCTTCTTCGCCATGAAGGAAATGTGCAATGGAAGAACACACTTCTTTTTGTACCAATAGTGACCTCCATCAGCCAGACATAGTCCTCCTGTTAGGATATTTCCGTTCCACCTTAAAAGGGAGCAGGCTGTGAGTCACAGAGTCTGCGTATTTCCTGTTCACAGGATGTTTATGTTTTCTGTTGCTTTCCTTTTTCCGTTCCACCTTAAAAGGGAGCAGGCTGTGAGTCACAGAGTCTGCGTATTTCCTGTTCACAGGATGTTTATGTTTTCTGTTGCTTTCGTTTTCTCTCTCTTGTTTGACTGGTTGTGCAAAAAGCAGACGACAGTGAGCCTAAGTTCCTGTGAAGCAGAACTCAATGCTCTGTCATTTTCACTCATGGATTGTGAATGGTTGATGCAACTGTTTAAGGACATCAGAGTTTCTGTGAAATGTCCTGTACAAGTGCATCAAGACAATAGATCGTGTTTGGCTTTGCTGAACTCGGAGAGTTGCAAGCAAAGGACCAAGTACTTGCAGATTAAGCTACATCGTGCAAGAGAGTGTATTCAGAAAGGACTCATTCAGGTGTCCTACATGCCAGGAAATGAAATTCCTGCTGATCTGTTGTCTAAGGTTGTTAACAGAGAACAACTTAAGGTTTACGTACAAAGGTTGCAATTGGGTTGAACCACAGGTACTACAGGTTACACGGAAAGGGGGGAGGATGTTAAGATATTTCCGTTCCACCTTAAAAGGGAGCAGGCTGTGAGTCACAGAGTCTGCGTATTTCCTGTTCACAGGATGTTTATGTTTTCTGTTGCTTTCGTTTTCTCTCTGTGTCGCAGACACTAAAAGCAGGCAGTCATGTTTTTCTGTGTTCTGATCAACGCTGAATAAACTTGTAAATAATGCTCTCCTGACTGCAACTTTTGGCTGTGCATTATCTGCTGATAGAGTGTGCATGAGCTCTGGAATGTGGCCAGATATTTTCTAGAAACTCATGTCGCTGCGTGCCTACGGGAGGTCGATGGATCGTCCGGCAGACGGCTTGGGGGCCTTGATGGACTTTATCTCCCTGGCAGTATCCCAACAACAGGTTATGGGCCCAGATTCACAGCACTTACAGGAGAGTAAGACTGCGACGGACTGCTGAAAGGTATGTGGAGGAAAAGCGAAAGTAAGGCTTTTCTGTTTGCCGAGGCAAGGGCCTTTGAACTCCGGCAGACTAATGGATCTGGGAGCCGCGCCAAAGGCTTCGTGATTTATGAGCTGCTGAGATAAGACGTCTCTGAAGTGAATAAGACTCACGGCTCAAATAAAAAGCTGGAATGGAGTTTTTCCAAGCTTCTGAGGCTGCTGAGTGCCCAAAGCTAAATCAGCACAATTATGGGACCTGGGCAAAGTGGTGTGAGAGTTTGCTGCGTCAGTTTGGAGTGTGGCATACTGTGTGTGAGGCCCCTCCAGTTCCTCTGACAGATAGATGGAAGGCCGAAAATTCGAAGGCGATAGACTTAATAGTCTTGTCCGTCTCTCTGGAGGAAATAAAAACGCTTGCTGGCAATGTGACTGCACGTAAGATGTGGAATGCTTTGAAAGTAGCCCATCTGCCAATCATCCCAGCCCAGAGTTTGATTGCGTCGGAGGTCCTGGCCGTTTCCCAGAATGCGAGTGAATGCAGGGATGCTGAGGGCACCGGTTGCAAGCTGCAGGGGGAGCTGACTGTCACGTCATCCCAGGCAGAATTCCAGCCTCCAGGGGGAGCCAAGGAGTCGGCAGCTGAGAGCTCTGTTTCTCATGGGAGCCAAGGTCATCGCCTTTGCAGAGGCCGGAAGGGCAAAGGTAAACAGAGGCAGATGCCTGCAGATGGCCAGAAGCAGAGGGAGGGTGAAGAGCCCATGCCAGTGGAAAACAAGGTTTTGTTTGCTGGCACAGTTTCACCAAAGGCTAAAGGCAAGTCTGATGGCCAGGAGCAGGGGGGCAAGCTGCAAAAGCCCACGCCAGTGGGAAACAAGGTTGTGTTTGCTGGCACAGCTTCACCAAAGGCTAAAGGCAAGTCTGATGGCCAGGAGCAGGGGGGCAAGCTGCAAAAGCCCATGCCGGTGGAAAAC